TCCACACATGCTTACTTTTCAAGCAGAGGTGAAATTTTTTAGTGGGAATTTTTGCAGCTTAGAAACCAGACAACGTATCGACTGTTTCCGCGCACATGAAAGAGTAAAGCAGCGAAAATTCTTAACAGCAAACGTCTGCTAGACGAAACTGTGCAAAACGCATAATCGCACTGATTACCCCTGATGCGTGCTGCTATTTATTTTAGTTGAAAAAAAAAAAATGATAAATACTGAGAGGCTGAAAAACTCTGTTTTAGGAAGATTTAAAGATGGGAAAAAGATGAGCGTAAGCCGAGGTACCGCATCTCTCAGCCACCCATTAAGTTATAAATTTTTAGCTAAAAAATTCCAAAACATGTATTTTTATACAAAATAACACAAACATGAAAAACTTACCGAAGTTTCTTGCACGGCAGATGCTTGCGATTCGGTCGATATGGCAGTCAACTCGGCCTGACCACTTCTACTGCTATCCCAACGACCACGACTGTATTGCGCCTAGAAAAAAAAAAATCGCTTAAAGGAACACGAATGAATCAAAAGATGATTTAGCGATCGCCATCAACACAGTCTTATCTGATGAAGAAAAACAACATTTTAATGCATTTGATGTAAAAAATGGCTTTTTTAATAAAAAGGAAGCAACGGTGTTATAAAATTCATCGCAAGATCAATAAAAATCCTTGCGACATTTCCCTGCTCTCAAACTATGTATTCGTTTATAGCCAAAAAAATGCAAAAAAAAAAAAATTGTTTCCACTGTTGTCCCCTCGGTCATATGTTCTGTGAACACTATCTCTTTTAAAAGAAGAAGCTTTTTTTAGATTTTTTAGGTAATTTTGAAATTTTGAAATTTCTAGATAATTCAAAAAACCATTTTAGATAATTTGGAAGTTTTGGCACGCGAAACTCCAAAATAATTGATTTAAGTGTACGTTCTCGAATTTCCTCCCCCAAAAAACAAGATTTCCGTTTTGGAAAGCTTTTTATGCCTACCACTGAGAAAGGAATGGCAGATTCTATTTCTCCTGTATACGCTCCACATAATAATCTTTGCACAGTGCAAAGAAGATGCCCTATCATACTTTTCACTTTTTGAAAAAGGTGCGAATAAGTGTAATAAGAGAGGAAACAAAATCGCTGGAATTGGTCAGTGCAAAAAATATTACAAAGCAACAACAGGATTCGTGCGAAAATGTTAGGCTGTACGCGAAAAATCAAGGAAAAAACGTCGTATTTTAAACAAATCGAGGTACGAACAAGTGAGTGAAAGGCGCAAGTTTGACTGATACCATCCAAAGACTTAATGGATCGAAACATTTTCTATCATAATAATAAATTTGCTAAAATGATTTCACTACTTTTATTAATTTCTCAATTAATTTTGCTAATTTTACTCATTGGCTATGGCTATCTCGCCCACTAATTTTACTAATTAAAGGATAAAGAGAAAATAATGAAGTAAAAAAAAAGTGAAGGGGAAAAAAAACGAAGTAGAAAACGGAAATGAGTGTATGGAAATATTAGGTGAAGAAATGTTTCGATCCGTTAAGTCGTATACATTTCTTACCGTTACCACAATTGGACCTGATCATTAATTTCTACCTTTCTATTAAGATGCACATTCTGTGGAAAATTCAGTACGCCGGTGTTAACGGCAGTGAGAAAAGATTTAGAAGAGTGCCAAAAGAAAATGCAGATTAATATTAAAAGCACAAGGAGGCATTCAATAATTGTGTGTTTTCTGGTCAGTCAATACTCCGCACACCAAAATTCTCATGGCTGTAGCTATTCCACTGTTTGCAATGATTACATCCAGCAAGAAACGTCCACAGATAAAAATTTTGAATTATATATACACATATAGTTATATATAAACATATATATGTAAATATTTGCATTCTTCATATTCCACCAATACATTCCCATCAAATTAAATAGTAAATAATCAATAAACAGCAGGTAATACATGCAAAATATTTAATTTATAGATAATATATTTTAAATTAGATAAAATATACA